CTATGGCGAGTGAATTCGTTATAAGGAACAATAAAAAAATATTTAGTATTTAGTGGGGAGCGTTTGGGTCAAATTGTGGTCGAATGGACAAGTTTAGGGCCGGTGGACTAGCGGCACTTGCCTCTTACGGTGAGGCGCGCAGCTCGTCCCCCCTTTGGGGATGGGGGGCTTTTGGGACCTTCACTAATCGGAGTGGGGTGTTTTATAACTTTTAGGAAGGTATTTGCAGAGATAGGAATTCGATACGTGGGATGCATCGAAGTGGCGCAGACTAGATTCACATGGAGTCAGGAGAGTGACTGGGCTGTTCACTCAGTACTACCTTGCCCGTGCGCTCGGTGGGATCTTATTAATTTTGAAATAGAATGTTTGTACTAAATCTGGCCATAATCGATTAAATTTAACCCTTTTAAATGTGAATATAGTGAAGTACGATAATAATTACTTAATAATAGACAATAAATTAATAATATTGATGGATTTGCGGAAAGGCATTCTGTTTCAAAATTGCTAAGATCTCCACTGAGCGAACGTCCAATGGTGTTGGGATAGCCGCAACCTTGTGCAGGCTGAGGAGCACTCTTAGCCGAATTATTCACATTTTAATCTAAAGTCCTCTAATCTATCACTGTAAATGTATTTTGCTTTCCTTCTTCAAACGAGACCTGTAGGGATCCCGCTCGACTCCATTTTAGTGCTTGTGCATGACTAGCGGCCTGTTGAGCGTGCGGCGTCCCCTGGGTTGGACTCAAATCTTCAGATCGACTGTTTTGCGCCCTTTTAAAAGTTGGTATAATTATTGTGCACGCTTTATCTTCCTGTTTTCTTTGACAATGAGGCCTTTTTACAAGACGTCTGCCCTTTGCCTCGTGGCGCCGTTTGGGATGCAGTCAACGACGGCAAACACACCGTTGAAATTCACAGTCCATGATGCTGGCGAAGCTAAACACATTCGGTGTTTACAGTTTGTTGGCACCTCTGGAACCTAATGCTTGCAAAAAATTGAAGGCATAATTTGAACAAACTGATTATTTATTATTTCGTCAAATTTTTGCAAGTTTTAGGTTCTAAAGGTGCACCCCTCTAACGGCACGCTGGCTGTACTTATAACGCTTGTGCCCGACTAGCGTCGTGCTGAGCGTGCGGCGTTCCCTTGGTTGGACTCCACTCTCCAGATCAATGATCTGTTTTCCGCCCCTTTTTAAGTCAGACTAATTATTGTGCTCGTTTTATCTTCTGCTTTTCTTTGACAATGAGGCCTTTTTTCAAGACGTCCGCTCTTTGCCTCTTGGCGCTGTGTGGGCTTCAATCAGCGACTGCAGCCAAGCTGACATTCGCAGTCTCTGATGTTGGCGAAGGTACAGGCATTCAATACTCCAATGCTGTTTAAATTTTTTCTTCGAATTTTCAAACATTAGTTTCCTGGTGCGCCCCCCTAAAAGGCACTCTAGCTTTTGGCTTGGAGGTCCCCAAGGCAGGCCGTCGTTGACTGAAACCATCAATGCTGTTACTTGTGCTGTGAGCAGATGCATACACGGCGGCGAACTTGGCCCGGAATGGTGAGCTTTCTGTCCACATTAGTCCACTGCAGAAGAGCGAGGATATCGTCACAGCCCTGAAAGCAGCATTGAGAGCAAATCCGCCGACCGGCGATGCTTGCGCATCAATGGCACTTCCCACTTATTTCGTAAGTAAATTCACCAGCAAGAACATCCATTAACCCATATAGAGGTACAATTAGACGCCCACGCGCGTTTCTCCAAATTTCAACGTATTTGGCCTGTGTCTTTACAGGATAAAGTTGCGTTTCACGCTAGATACACAAAAGGCACTACTGGCCCGAACTATCGGGAGTTGTTCCAGACCGCCCTTACCCAAGGAACGGATCTCTCGTGAGCATGATATCTTTGCTTTTGCCCACCTCAGTAGGATAGCTAGAGCTGCGTATCGTCGGTTATTACTTTGGTTGAAAGCCCCAACATTTTTCTTGCATTAATTCTATTTCTGGTCATCTCAGACAAATGAAACCATACCCTACTGACTGGGAAGAAGTCTGGAATCAGGAAGCAGGAGCCAACCTGGCATACCTTCTCTGGTCTACCAGCACGGAAATTGGTTGCGCCACTGCAACATGCAAAGAAGATGCAGACGAAAAAGCGAACGCTGTTCTGTACTGCCAATTGGTTGACAAGCCTAAGACGAATGGGACTCCCTTCACGTAAGTGTCGAGTGTAAAGTGAGCCTACGGAAGTGGTTTGGTCTTGTCCGATGGCAGCTAAGTATCTACTCCTTGTGTTGTTTTTCTTTTGTATTGCAGTGAGGAGTACTACAAGGAGCTCATGGGGCGAAAAGTTCCCCTGTCACAGATGAAGGAAGACGAACTTGAGGTGTCAGCCGGCGCCTCATCCATCGCCGCACCCTCGGGTCTTCTAGCCAGCTTGGTCGCCATCATGGCAACTATTGCTGCATAGACATACAATCTTGACACATGACTACCTGGTAGTTAAGCTCGCCAGCCATTCGTAAAGTTGGCAGGCAGCAGATGATGCCCTCACGTCGTTAACTGCTGCTCAGTACATAGCCATAAGCAATTCAGCCTATTTCTTCTGCATCTTAATTGAGTGCCACATAAGCTTGCAACAGTTTCATGGCGGAACAACCAAATTCCGCTGTACAGACGTATCGCCGGGCTCAAAAGTGGCAGCGGCATTTTGTCTAACATTACGTTGGCTACACAGCGTTTATCGATTCGATAATTGCTACTGTTGATTGCTAGCATTAAGGTGGAATTTGAACAGAATTTGCTGCTACTGTATGTGGTTGAAGAGTGCAGCCTAATTGGCATAGGTTAGATTTAAGTAGGGATGGAAATTTCAAGAACTTATATCTGTCAGGTTGATACAATGCTATTGTTCCTGCCCGGCATCCATGAAATTCACGTGCATGATACAACGCCGGTACCTATAAACAAAAACAGAAAGGGCGTGACGCCCGCTCTTCACCCATGCTGTGCGCGTGGTAGTTGTGAATTGTGTTATTAGGGGGATGTTCATGTTGACGTGTCGTTTCACATTTTATGCGTGGGTGGGAAATCACTGGATCGATGAGATGGTTGCGCCTACGTGTGCAATCATCCCCCTGATTGTTTTTGTTTGCACATATTGAGATATAGGTATACAGGCTCATATAAGTGTTGATGCACGCGTACATCTGCATGCAGCTAAGCATAGACGAATGGAGAAGTATCTGTGCATATTCGCGTTCCTCTGCATCGTTATGTATGTATGTATGTATGTATGTATGTATGTATGTATGTATGTATGTATGTATGTATC